TATATGTATATCTATGTAAATATATGTAAATATATGTATATATATGTATATATATGTATATATGTGTATGTCTAGCATGTATTTTCAACTTGATTGATTCTACAAGTGGTTTATAATATCATGTGAATATTGGTAATACATTGATATATACTAACACTATATATATTTATTTTATTTGCTAAATCTTGTCTAACAAGAAAAAGCAGCATGTTTGTTTTCCGAAATGAATTGGAGTTACGATCATTAGTAGATCGCAATTTGGAAAAATGTGATAAAGACCCCAGTGGATCCATGCATAAATTTATAAATACTTATACAATTGGTCCGATGCACCAATTTAATACGGCGCATGCACATTCATATAACACAGTACTCTTCTTTACTGTTGTCGTTTGAATAATATACGATATGAATTAACGCTAGCATTTCCTGACTGTGTTTTTTTCCATTGTTTTCTTCTTTCGTTTCAATATTACAAACTCTAAATTTTTTCATCGGATTTTTAAGGCCAAAGATAATTGCCCACGCAACTTCGTTGAGCCTTTGGGTAAAACCTTCCTTTATGCAGCCTTTCACTCGGTGCGCCAACTACCCTCAGTTACAACTATTGCGCATTTTATTCTGATTTAGCGCAAATTAAACATCCTTTTTCCCTCAAATACCCTTATCATCCTTCGTTCCGAGCTTACACTTCATCCACGGAAAAACATAAGCATTCGATTAGTAAAAATACAAATGATGAAAACTCGAATTTTTCCAATAATATGGCTTTTAGCCTTCGCTTTAGGTTTAATCATATTGGCGCATTCGAGTGAGGCTCTGGGTCAGGAAATGGTAAAGGGTGGGCAGGTCTCTCCCTTTCAACGTCGTATTGATACGTCAACAAAAGATGATTCCTCACAAGGCGATTCTAAATCTGACGCCAAGTCTTCTAAACCTGAAAAACCCAACTCAAAAAATGATGCTGAGTCTGATGTGCAGACTTCAAAAAAAACTATAGTTTCTGAAAAAAAGAGCTCAAAAAATGATGCTGATGATTCTACTCAGAAACCGACTCAAGTTTCTAAAAGTTCCCAAAAAAATCAAAATTCTGAAGTTTCTAAGAGTTCCTTAAAAAATGTTGACATTAAAGAACCTGATGTGCGACCGGCTCAAGTTTCTAAGAGTTCCTTAAAAAATGCTGATGTTAAAGTGCCTGATAAAGTGACTAATAAAGTGCCTGGTAAACAGAGTTCGTCAAACAATGTTCCTAAAGAATCTTCTTCAACCTCAAAACAGAATTCAGATTCAAACAAAGCTAATGCCAAAGTGTCTGATAAACAATCTTCAAAGCCGACTAAAGTTTCTAAGAGTTCTAAAGAATCTAATATACATTCTTCGACCTCAAAACTGACTTCAGTTTCTAAGAGTTTCTCAAATGCCAAAGTGCCTGATAAAAAACCTTTAGAGCCGACTCAAGTTTCTAAAAGTTCCTCAAAAAATGGTTCTAAGGAATCTAATATACATTCTTCGACCTCAAAACAGACTCCAGTTTCTAAGAGTTCCTCAAACAAAGCTAATGACAAAGTGTTTGATAAACCGACTAAAGTTTCTAAGAGTTCTAAAGAATCTAATATACATTCTTCAACCTCAAAACAGACTCCAGTTTATAAGAGTTCCTCAAACAAAGCTAATTCCAAAGTGTCTGACAAACAACCTTCAGAGCCGACTCAAGTTTCTAAGAGTCCCTCAAAAAATGGTCCTGAAAAATCTAATGTACAGTTTTCGACCTCGAAGCCGACTTCAAAAAATGGTCCTAAAGAATTTAACATACCTTCTTCAACCCCAAAACAGACTCCAGTTTCTAAGAGTTCCTCAAACAAAGCTATTGCCAAAGTGTCTGATAAACAACCTTCAAAGCCGACTCAAGTTTCTAAGAGTCCCTCAAAAAATGGTCCTAAAAAATCTAATATACAGTTTTCGACCTCGAAGCCGACTTCAAAAAATGGTCCTAAAGAATTTAACATACCTTCTTCAACCCCAAAACATACTCCAGTTTCTAAGAATTCCTCAAACAAAGCTACTGCCAAAGTGCCTGATAAACAACCTTCAGAGCCGACTCAAGTTTCTAAGAGTTCCTCAAAAAATGGTCCTAAAAAATCTAATGTACAGTCTTTGACCTCGAAGCCGGCCCAAGCTTCTAAGAGTCCCTCAAAAAATGGTCCTAAAAAATCTAATGTACAGTCTTTGACCTCGAATCCGACCCAAGCTTCTAAGAGTCCCTCAAAAAATGGTCCTAAAAAATCTAACATACCTTCTTCAACCTCAAAACAGACTCCAGTTTATAAGAGTCCCTCAAAAACTGGTCCTAAAAAATCTAATGTACAGTCTTTGACCTCGAATCCGACCCAAGCTTCTAAGAGTTCCTCAAAAAATGGTCTTAAAAAATCTAACATACCTTCTTCAACCTCAAAACAGACTCCAGTTTATAAGAGTTCCTCAAGCAATACTGCTAAAAAATCTAATGTACAGTCTTTGACCTCGAAGCCGACTAAAGTCACAAACAGTGCTGATGCTAAAGTGTCTGGTAAACCTCCAAAACCGACTCATTCTAAGAGTTCCTTAACTGATGATCGATTAAATACTAAAATAACTATGAAGACGACATTAACTGAAACAACCTTGACTAAAACATCCACTAATGATCGATTAAATACTAAAGCTTTTCCTGATGATCGATTAAATACTAAAATAACTATGAAGACGACATTAACTGAAACAACCTTGACTAAAACATCCACTAAT